TCACCGTCAAGCCTTGCTCCACTCGTCCAATTTAGCGGCGAAGGGCATGAGAAAACGCTCGTTTGCGCCGTTTTCAAGCTCTTTAAGGTGACTTTTCGGGGTCAGCGCACTGGATAATCCCAGTTAAGCGAAAACACTAGGCTGAGATTTGCCGAGCCACTGCCTTCAAGGATGTACAGGGCTTGTCAAAATGCACTGTCGGGTACACCAGCATCTCCATTCCTGCGCGAGTCTTGTACCTCTTTCAACATGCTTTCTAATCTTTTCCAATGAACTGAGACTCCGCCTCTCCCACGCTTCCCCTGAGGAAGTGGTCAGAGAGCATGTTCGCGAAAAAGATGCAGAGTTTCAGCGAAGGCGGCCACACGGGAGATGCTGGTACACCGTGCAGTTGACACATTCGTATCTTTGGACTTTTTACCTTAGCCACCACTTCTCCCTTCTTTGGCACGTTTGCAACTGCCTAAAAAAGTGATCAAAGAATATTTCTTGTGCGAAGCCAATGATTATATAACAAAAAGAAACTGGTGATGTCTCACTTGAGGTTGTGCTTGACGTCGACCCTTTGGCACATTCTGAAAACTTCAAATTATAAGTGCCCGTTAAGGAATTGTAGTCTTACCTCTCTTAGAGCTTTTACACTTGGTGAAGGTTCAGCGTTTTTGAGTTCATCAGGAAGTTTAATAGGCCCATCATTCTTGGCAAACTTTGCTTCAAAGTTTGGAAGTTCAACAACACTAAAAAAGAAACACTAAGGCTTACGTCTGCGTCTTCTTCCAGCCGCATCGATATAATAGTACAAGGCAATCGAAGCCGCACCCAAACCAAGGATCAATATTACAGCAAGGCTGTAATCTCCAGCAGTATTTGCGCTATAATCTCAAAAATGAAACTGCGCAGAACTTTGCTTCAGTTATTAGAAATCACATTCTTAAAATCATTGAGAAATTAAGGGGCGTAGTGAATTGCTTACATAATTGACAACTTCAAGCTTTTTAGTCCATTTTTTGTACATGAGGTCAAGATGTGGCTCAGGACAATTCTAGCTTTCCCAATCTCCCCGACATACCGAGTAATACTTTTTTATGCAACGAATCATTGCCCACTCAAACTGGTGACAGAGTGCTTTGGTGAGTAAAGAAGAGATACGAAAAAAGCTGTTCAGACTGGCGTTAATAGCTCACTTGTTTCGCTTTGATGGCTTTTGAACAATCGCAAAAGTTCTACGTCACAGTCGCAGAGCCGTGCTAGAAGTCTGCAGGAATGCGACATAGCATGGCTTACACATACAAAGGCTGAATTTGTTGTAACAAGTGAAAGCGAATGAGAGTGT